AGCAAAAGAAAAAGGAAGAAGGAGAATAAATAATTCCTGAAAGATTGTTGCCACCGACCTACCTGCTCGTGGATGAGCAGCTGGAGGGACAGGGTACTGAAGCAGGGAACTTGATCTGAGGTCGGTCGCCCTGACTGGCGGTGCCGTAAGCATGCAGCAGAAGCAGGTGCACATCTTCTCTTTGAGGAGGAGAGCTCCTTCCTTCTAGGCCTCAGAGAATTCCCCACACATAATTTTTCAAGGGAAGTTACCAACATACATGGCCCATAAGGAAACAAGACCATGTGAACAGGAACCAGAAGAAACAGGCAGCAGAAACAGACTCACACAGACCTCAGACGCTGAAATCATCCAACACAGATTCTAAAACAGTTATGCTCAACGGTTTAAAAAAGTCATCATCAGGGCTGTGTGCCAGGTTCATGCCTGTAATCCCAGCACTTTAGGAGGCCAAGGCAGAAGGATTGCTTGAGGTCAGGAGTTCCAGAACAGCCAGGGCAACATGGCAATAACCCCATACTACAAAAGATTTTTTAAAAAATTAACTGGGCCGGGCATGGTGGCTTCTCATACCTGCACAGCAATTTGGGAGGCCTAGGCGGGTGGATCACTTGAGGTAAAGAGTTCAAGACCAGCCTGGCCAACATGGTGAAACCCTGTTTCTACTAAAAATCCAAAAAAATTAGCCGTGCGTGGTGGTATATGACTGTAATCCCAGCTACTCGGGAGGCTGAGGCAGGAGAATCACTTGAACCTGGCAGGTGGAGATTGCAGTGAGCCAAGATCACGCCATTGCCCTTCAGCTTGGACAACAAGAGCGAAACTCCGTCTCAAAAAAAAAAAAAAAAAAAAATTGGCATGGTGGCGTGCACCTGAAGTCCCAGATACTCAGGAGGCTGTGGCAGGAGGCTCCCTTGAGTCCAGGATTTGCAGGCTTCAGTGGCTATGAATGCACAACTGCACTCCAGCCTGGTGACAGAGAGACACCCAGTCTCTAAAAAGCAGCAACAAAATCATCAAGCTTGAAAACATTTACAGGGAATAGAAGGCTATAAAATAGAACATAACGAGGCCGGGCGCGGTGGCTCACGCCTGTAATCCCAGCACTTTGGGAGGCCGAGGCGGGTGGATCACGAAGTCAAGAGATCGAGACCATCCTGGTCAACATGGTGAAACCCCGTCTCTACTAAAACTACAAAAAATTAGCTGGGCATGGTGGCACGTGCCTGTAATCCCAGCTACTCGGGAGGCTGAGGCAGGAGAATTGCCTGAACCCGGGAGGCGGAGGTTGCGGTGAGCCGAGATCGCGCCATTGCACTCCAGCCTGGGTAACAAGAGCGAAACTCCGTCTCTAAAAAAAAAAAAAAAAAAAAAGAACATAACAGTTTTCTTTCTTTTTTTTTTTTTTTTTTTTGAGAGAGAGTCTCACCCTGTTCCCCAGGCTGGAGTGCAGTTACTCGATCTCAGCTCACTGCAACCTCCACCTCCTGTGTTAGAAATAAGTCTTGGAGTCGTAAGGAAAAATGAGCATTTAGACAAAGGATTTTTTAGTACAGTAAATTTATGTTTGCGTAGAAAGGTGTTTCTCGTGTGGCTGGCTGTTACGAGAGCACTTTGAACAAAGGAGAGCAGGTTTTTGGCATTGCTTCATTTCATGCTTAATAGGCTGGGAGGGGTAGGCTCATGGGATGATCATTCTGAAGAATCAGGGTTGTAAGGAGGAAGAATAACATGAGCAGGAGAAGGATCTGGAACAGGATCTGAGGCGGCAGCAGCTGTTTGAGTGGGGCGGTCGGGGGCACTGAACGGAGGAAGGTGATTTAGAGGCTCTTACATGTTGGTGGGCGCAGGTTGTTTAGAAACAGGGACGTTTTCTCTTTCAGAGGAGTCGGTTTCTGGCTTGTTCCCTCCGATTTTTAAGGGGTAAAGGACAGGTCCTTGTCTCCAACAAAGAGCATAGTCCGTCTCCTCCCAGGAGGCAGGGCTCTTATCCCTAATGTGCTCCAGTAAGAGCTGACAAATCTCTCTTCACTGGACTCACATTTTGGACAGAAGCCTGCGGGTTTAAGCATGGGCCCTCGAGTTCAAATAAAACCATATTTTATCGTTTGCTGCTTTCTTTGATGTTTTGTTCTTTCACTGTCTTTCTAATATTTTAACATGAGCCTGAAGGGACTCTTAGAAGGAATTTCATCACTCTTTTGACTCTTTATTTTTCTTGTCTTACTTGAAACGTTTCCCATCTCAGAGGTAGAGGGGTGGGGGTTCAACCTCTTCTATTAGAGCTTTCTCCCCTCCCTCCTTCTAGAGGTTCACTGGGGCTTTAAGGGTCGACCTTTCCTATGAGGGATTTCCTGCCCATCCTTCTCCAGAGGCTGTGTTGAGGCCCAGCCCCTCCTATTAGGGATTCTTGTCTATCCTTCTTTCCCTTCGTCCACTCTGGCCGCTTCCGCCCCAAACCATGTGAGGTGACCACGAAACCACAGAGAGGACTTACTCTCCCCGCAGTAGTGCTTAGCACTATTCACACACGCTTTCTCTCCCTCCCTCCCTCCCTCCTTCCCTCCTTCCCTCCTTCCCTCCTTCCCTCCTTCCCTCCTTCCTTCCTTCCTTCCTTTCTTCCTTCCTTTTCTCTCTCTCTCTTTTTTCGACGGAGTTTTTGCTCTTGTTGCCCAGGCTGGAGTGCAGTGGTATGATCTCAGCAACGTCCGCCTCCCAGGTTGAAGCGAATCTTCTGCCTCAGCCCCCCGAGTAGCCGGGATTACAAGCATGCGCCACCACCCCCGGCTAATTTTGTATTTTTAGTAGAGACCGGGTTTCTCCATGTTGGTCAGGCTGGTCTCGAACCCCCAGCCTCAGGTGACCTGCCTGCCGTGGCCTCCCAAAGTGCTGGGATTACAGGCGTGAGCTTCACACTCACTTTCAACCTCTAGAATATCCTGACTGCTAAGGAAATACTTTGCCACCCCCCTGCGATGTTTCTTACTTTGGTCTGTGCACAGAGTTACTTGGTTTCCGTGGCTGCAAGACTCTCCTCCCTGTGTTACTCAGAGCCCGGATTTATTCATCACAACGGGTGGGTCTCCATCTCCTTCCTGTCCCTGCAGCCACCATAATGGGACAGTGGGACACGTCTCCTCCTGGGTGGGATGACTGAAAACCCCCTCCTGAAGGAGGATGGGAATCCCCACATGGGCCACCAGAACTGTTAGCAGCAAGGCTCAGAGTCATAAGAAAAAACAAGCACTTAGACAAAGTGCTCCTTTGTCCTCCTGTGTCTCCCAAGTGCTGGGATTGCAGGTGTGAGGCACTGCACCCGGCCATAACAGATTTCAAAAAGAACAAAATAGAACTTTTTAGAAACTTAAAAAATAAATAAGGAATAAACTCAATTATTGTATCTGACAGAAGATTGTTCATGGTGGAAGAATTAGTGAGATATCAGAAGTTATGGCTGGGCAGTGACTCACGCCTCTAATCCCAGCACTTTGAAAGGCCGAGGAGGACAGATCACTTGAGCCCAGGAGTTCGAGACCAGCCTAGCCAACATGGTGAAACCCCATCTCTACTAAAAACCAAAAAAAGTTAGCTGGCCATGGTGGCACACCCCTGTGGCCCCAGCTACTTGGAGGCTGAGGCAGGAGAATCGCTTGAACCTGGGAGGTGAAGGTTGCAGTGAGCCGAGATGGCGCCACTGTACTCCAGCCTGGGTGACAGAAAGAGACCCTGTCCCAAAAACACAGAGGCTATCCAGAATGTAACACAGAGAGACAAAAAGATAGAAAATACCAAAAGGAGAAGAGGAGAATTGGAAGGTCCTTTGAGAAATACCATCAGACATTTGTTTGGAGTTGCAGACAGAGAGGCAAGAGAGCGTGGCATGAGAACCCTCTGAATCTCTAATGGCCGAAAATGGTCCAGAACCCACGAAAGACAACCTGCAGATTTGAAGAAGCCAATATTTGCTGAATGAACGAATGAATGAATAAGCGGGGGGAGATGCCTTGATCAGCGTGCCTGCCTCCTCCCTTCCCCTCACATGGGGGCTGCCATGGGCTGAAGCCCCTTCCTCACCCTCCCAGGCTCTAGAGTGGGGGCCCATCCATGCCGTTGAAAGCCTGTCCTCCTGCTGCCAGCCCTTCCTGCCAGATGTCCTTCACCCACTGGTCAGCCTTTGCTGTCTTGCCCCTGCCTCCTGAGTTATCAGCGTGGTTTAAAATAGACAGGTCAGGGGAGGAATGCTGCCCAGCCACTCAGTGGCAACAAGCTGCAACCTCAGACAGCTTCCAAAACTTGCCTCTCAAGGAAGAGGAATAACTCACCCTGGCTAGCAGTCTTTCTCTCCTGGAACAAAAGGAAATATTTCAAATTCAGAAAAACAACCCAAACACTCTTCCAACTGAGACGGTAGGAGAAGAGGGTTAGAAAGGGCGCCTGGTGTTTTTGTTTTGTCTGTTGAGCCCGATCAGGCGTCAGGGGAACCGCACACCACGAACCGGCCTCCAAGGCCTGGCTTATCAAGGTGGCATGATCCGCTACATGCATGTTTTTCTGTCAATATAAAGCCTTCGTTTTGTAGTGGAGACAGAAATTAATCCCATTTTTCAGATGGGAAAATTGAGGTCCAAGAAGTAAAGTACTGTCATTTGCTCCTCTTCTCAATGACCACGATCAAGTTATTTGGGCTAGGTCAGTCCTTTCTCCTCCTTCTCCTTCTTCTTCTTCTTCTCCTCCTCCTCCTCCTCCTCCTCCTCTTCCTCCCCCTTCCTCCTCCTTCCTCCCCCCACCTCCCCTTCTCCCCTTCCTCCTCCTCCTTCCGCCTCCTCCCATTCCTCCTCCTCCTCCTCCTCCTTTTTTTTTTTTTGAGGCAGGGTCTTGCTCTGTCACCCAGGCTGGAGTGCAGTGGTGTGATCCTGGCTCACCACAAACTCCGCTTCCCAGGCTCAAGTGATCCTCCCACCTCAGCCTCCTGAGTAGCTGGGAGTACAGGTGCACACCACCATGCCTGGGTAATTTTTTCGTATTTTTAGTAGAGACGGAGTCTCACCATGTTGCCCAGGCTGAAACGATTGCATTTTATTCTTGTAATAAAATCTAATTGTGGCACTAAAATAAAAACAGCTGTATATGATCTGGTTTTATTATTACCTGAAATTATCTTGGTTACATAACTCATTTACTTGATTGGCGTCTTTTTGCTCTTTGGTGGAACATAAATTTCATGGGTGCAAAGGTGTTGTCTGTTTGGTTTACTGCTATATTCTCAGTGTTTAGAGCTCAAAGCGATCTGCACCTTTTGGCCTACCAAAGTGCTGAGATTATGAGTGTGAACCACCGCACCCGGCACTGGGGAGTTTCTTGTTAAAACTGCACATCAGGCCAGGCGCAGTGGCTCATGCCTGTAATCTCAGCGCTTTGGGAGGCCAAGGTGAGGCAGGAAGACTGCTTGAGGTTATAGTGAGCTATGACAGTGCTACTGCTCTCCAACCTGTGCAACAGAGCCAGACCCCGTCTCTAAAAGCAGAAAAAAAAAACTGTACATCATCACTTACCACCATGAATCAAGTTCCTTTGTAAGTCTGGGCAACATAACAAGGTCTGTTCCCACAAAAAATTTTTAAAAATTAGCCAGGTGTGGTGGCACGTTCCTGTGGTTTCAGCTAATTGGGAGGCTAAGGTGAGAGAGTCGCTTGAGCCCAGGAAGTGAGGCTGTAGTGAGCCGTGATCACACCACTGCACTCCAGCCTGGGTGACAGTGTGAGACCCTGTCTCAGAAAAAAAAAAAAAAAGTTCCTGTTTACACAAATTGTGCTCTCAGATCCTGTAGAGAAGGCTGTCTGGGTCAGGTGCAGGGGCTCACGCCTGTAATCCCAGCACTTTGGGAGGCCGAGGCGGACAAATCATGAGGTCAGGAGTTTGAGACCAGCCTGGCCAACATAGTGAAACCCCTGTCTCTACTAAAAATATAAAGATGAGCCGGACATGGTGGCACACTCCTGTAGTCCTAGCTACTCGGGAGGTTGAGGCGGGAAAATCGCTTGAACCCGGGAGGTGGAGGTTGTAGTGAGCCAAGATTTCACCATTGCGCTCCAGACTGGGTGACAAAGTGAGACTGTGTCTCAAAAAAAAAAAAAAAAAAAAGAGAGAAGACTGTCTGGTTTTCCTGACCCTCAAGTTTACAGCTAATTGGCAGAGACAGGTCAAACGTAGGTGGCAAAGATTTCAGGCAGCTTACAAAAAAGAATACAAATAAGCAGATAGCAAATGATGGCCCAGTGGTGGGGGAAATGGCACCATTGTCACAAGCAATGCTGGCCTTGCATGACCTCTTCCCTACGAGTAGCCAAAGGGACCTTTTAAAAAGTGGCTTTATTGAGATATAGAGGGACCTGAAAATGTGAATTGTCATTTCCCTGCTTAAAACTCTCCATTGGCAAGTCGTGGTGGCTCACACCTGTAATCCCAGCACTTGAGGCAGGTGGATCACTGGAGGTCAGGAGTTCGAGACTAGCCTGGCCAACATGGCGAAACCCTGTCTCCACTAAAAATATAAAAATTATAGGCCGGGCATGGTGGCTCATGCTTGTAATCCCAGCACTTTGGGAGGCCAAGGTGGGTGGATCACGAGGTTAAGAGATCGAGACCATCCTGGTCAAAATGGTGAAACCCCGTCTCTACTAGAAATGCAAAAATTAGCTGGGCATGGTGGTGCACGCCTGTAGTCCCAGCTACTCGGGAGGCTGAGGCAGGAGAATTGCCTGAACCCAGGAGGCGGAGGTTGCGGTGAGCCGAGATCGCGCCATTGCACTCCAGCCTGGGTAACACGAGTGAAACTCCGTCTCAAGCAGGAAAAAAAAAAAAATAATATATATATATATATATATATAAAATAGCCGGGTGTGGTGACGTGTGTCTGTAATCCCAGCTACTTGAGAGACTGAGGCAGGAGGATCGCTTGAACCCAAGAAGTGGAGGTTGCAGTGAGCCGAGGTCGCACCATTGCACTCCAGCCTGGTCAACAAGAATGAAACTCTATCTCAAAAAACAAAACAAACAAACCAAAAAAAAAAAAAAAAACCCAATAAAAACCCTCTCCATTGTTTCCTACTGTTTTCAAAATAAAATCCAACTGTGTCACTACAATAAAAAGGGCTGCAATGATCTGGTTGTACTGTTACCTGAAACTATTCTGGTTATATAACTAGTTTAGGTGATTGGCATCTATTTTCTCTTTATTGGATTGTAAACTTCATGGGGGCAAAGGTGTTGCTTGTTTGGTTCACTGTTGTATTCCCAGTGTTTACAACAGTGCCTCGGTTATAGTAGATGCTCAATAAATTTATCAAAAGATGAATAAATGAAAGCATGCAGGTGAGATTTTTTGAAAAAGGGAGTCTTAAACGATGATGTGGAGCTGATATCATAGATTTCTTAGAGCATGTGTTTTTTTTTTTTTTTTTTTTTGAGACGGAGTTTCACTCATGTTACCCAGGCTGGAGTGCAATGGCGCGATCTCGGCTCACCGCAACCTCCGCCTCCTGGGTTCAGGCAATTCTCCTGCCTCAGCCTCCTGAGTAGCTGGGATTACAGGCACGCACCACCATGCCCAGCTAATTTTTTGTATTTTTAGTAGGGACGGGGTTTCACCATATTGACCAGGATGGTCTCGATCTCTTGACCTCGTGATCCACCCGCCTCGGCCTCCCAAAGTGCTGGGATTACAGGCTTGAGCCACCGCGCCCGGCCTGCATGTATTCTTTAACAGTGAAAAATACTGTATCACTTTATGTGATCCTCAAACCGTTATAGGCATACTTATTATTAATGCCCATTTTATAGATAAGGAAATTAATGCAGACAGGTTAGAGGATTTGCAGAAGTTATTTTTTGAGATGGGATCTAGCTCTGTTGCCCAGGCTGGAGTGCAGTGGCACGATCTCAGCTCACTGCAACCTCTGCCTCCCGGGTTCAAGTGATTCTCCTGCCTCAGCCTCCCAAGTAGCTGGGATTATAGGCATGTGCCACCATGCCTGGCTAATTTTGTATTTTTAGTATAGATGGAGTTTCACCATGTTGGCTAGGGTGGTCTTGAACTCATGGCCTAGTGATCCGCCTGCCTCAACCTCCCAAAGTACTGGGATTACAAGCGTGAGCCACCATGCTCAGCCCCTCATGGGCACTTAAAAAATATAGCAGGGGCTAGGCATGGTGGCTCATGCCTATAATCTCAGCACTTTGAGAGGCCAAGGTGGGTGGATCACCTGAGGTCTGGAGTTTGAGACCAGCCTGGCCAATACGTGAAACTCTGTCTCTACTAAAATATAAATTAGCCAGGAGTGGCGGCACATGCCTGTAATTCCAGCTACTTGGGAGGCTGAGGCAGGAAAATCACTTGAACCTGGGAGGTGGAGGTTGCAGTGAGCTGAAATTGAGCCACTGCACTCTAGACTGGGCAACAAGAGCAAAACTCTGTCTCCAAAAAAAAAAACACCAGAAAATAATAAAACAGAAAGCGCGGTGGCTCATGCCTGTAATCCCAGCACTTTGGGAGGCCAAGGCGGGTGGATCATTTGAGGTCAGGAGTTCAAGATCAGCCAGGCCAACATGGCAAAACCTGTCTCTACTAAAAATACAAAAAAATTAGCCAGGCATAGTGGCACATGCCTAGTCCCAGCTACTTAGGAGAGTGAGTTAGGAGAATTGTTTGAATCTAGGAGGCAGAGGTTGCAGTGAGCCAAGATCATGCCATTGCACTACAGCCTGGGCAACAAGAGCAAAACTCCGTCTAAAAAAAAAAAAAAAATTAACTGGGTGCTGTAATCCCAGCTACTTGGGAGGCTGAGGCAAGAGAATCACTTGAACCCAGGAGGCAGAGGTTGCAGTGAGCCGAGATCGTGCCACTGCACTCAAGCCTGGATGACAGAGACAGAGTCCATCTCAAAAAATATATAATAATAATAACGGTTAAAATGATAAAGTTGCTGGACACAGTGGCTCCTGCCTATAAGCCTAGCACTTTGGGAGGCCATGGAGGGCAGATCACAAGGTCAGGAGTTTGAGCCAGGCTGGCCAACATGTAGAAACCCCGTCTCTACCAAAAATACAAAGTTAGCCAGGCGTGGTGGCACACGCCTGTAATGCCAGCTACTTGGGACACTGAGGCAGAAGAATCGCTTGAACCTGGGAGGCGGAGTTTACAGTGAACCAAGATCGAGCCACTGCACTCCATCTTGGGCAACAGAGCGAGACTCTGTCTCAAAAAAAAAAAGATAAACTTAAAAAAAAAAAAAGATGAACTTTATGTATATTGTACCACAGTAAGAAGTAGTTTTTAAAAAGTGGAGGCTGAACTAGTTTTATGTGTATTAATAGCGATGGATTTCAAAACAGAGAAAGAAGCATGTTGCAGAATAGGATGCCATATTTTTAACAAAACCCAAACAGTACTAAATAAATCTGTTGTGCATTCATATGTATATATGTTAGATAATAAAAATAGTCTGGAAAAATTCACGCCAAGGAGTGTTATCAGTGGATGCCTCTGGGGAGAAAGGATGAATAGTTAGGTGGCCAAGGAGAACTTCGTTTCTTTGTTCTAATTTATTTATTTGTAAAGGAGGATGGCGTTTTAAGACTAAATAATAATTTCCCCAATTACATGCACATCATGCCCTGTCAGCATTGTTTAGTGTGGCACCAGGGTCTTTGCAGGTGTGATTAAGTGAAGGGCCTTGTGGTGGGAGCGGCTCCTGGTGAGCTCTCCAGGTGAGGCCAATGTCATCACAAAAGGCTTCCTAAGAGGGAGGGAGGAGCGTCAGTGTCAGAGGAGATGATGTGAAGACAGGCAGAGATGGACAGAGACCTCTAGAAGCTGGGAGAAGAGCAAGGAAGCTGATTTTCCCTCAGTTTCCAGAAAGAACCAGTGCTGCCAATACCTTGACTTCAGGACTTCGTGATTCTGGACGTCTGACCTGCAGAACTGTAAGAGAATACAAGTGTGTTGCTTAAGCCACTAAGTGAGTGGTCAATTGTCACAGCATAGGAAATGAATACAGAAGGATTCATAGCTTCCTTGTACAATTCAACATTATACAGTTATATAAATAGAAAGGCTTGGGCGGAGGGAGTAGATTTTGAGTGTATCAGATAAGCAGCCCCCTCTTGTAAGAAGAGCGTAAGCTAGGTGGGTTTCTCTAGCACTGATGTTAGGGGCAACAAGTCCAGGAGGTGAAGAGGTGGAGGTGACTGAGGTGTGAGCTGACGTAAGATCATTAGCATATGCAGAATCACCTCGAGAAGGACTGCAAGGTATGAGTAGAACAAACTGGCATCTTCACACATTTTCTGCCTAAGATGAGACATACAAAATATCACAGTGATTAGAGTGCTCTAGATTTAGTGCCTGGATTAACACCTTCTGCTGAATCTTCACTTGCGAAAAAGAAAGAAAGAAAGAAAAAACCCTGCATGGAATTAAAAGAAAAAAAACCACCAAAATTATTTTTTTCAGCACTACTAGGGGAAAGGCAAATTCAGGCAACACCTGTTGAAAGGGTTTCAGGAGTTTTTGGAACCAGCTGTGGGTCAGCTAATGTCGATGAGTCATGTTGATTTGTCCTTAGCTATATGATTTCAAAGTGACATGTTCCATATAAGTAGAGTGTGATCTCTCTTGCTTTAAAAAAAAAGAAGTGAGTGGGTGGGAGGGTGGATATGAATATAGCTGCTTGAATAAGCATTGAAAAAAATTCTGGAAAG